CTAGAAATCCACAAAGAAAAACGGGGGCGGCCTTTCAAAGAATACCTAGTCCTCTTTTAATGTCCTCCTTTTGACCTTGTCTTTCGATGGCTGCTGATAATAATTTATAGGCCACAAACAGGCTGTTTCTACCAGACTCAACACCAGTCCATGCCGCAACCATGGCTGACAGGACAGACAGCAGCTGGCTTGTGAGTACCTGCTGTGTGGGAGGCAGGGTTCTGCCTTACACATGATCACTTCATCTCATAACCAGGGATCAACGTTGGAACTATCATCTCCTTATCTGACAGATTAAGAAACTTGAGGCACAAAGAAGTTAAGGGATGCTCTCAAGGTCACCCAGCTAGAAAATGGCAGAGCAGGGATTCAATGCAAGAGCACAGGATCCAGAGACTCCACTCAACCTCCAGCACACTGCCAAATAGCCTCGAGATGAGTATGAAGCGCCTGTCAGACGCCTGCACACATTCAGTAGAATACACTCCATTCTCCTCTCTTTGAAAGACCGGCACTCTCAAAGCCTTAAGTGTTAGAAGAAAAAAGAAAAAGTGCTTATAAAATTGTAAGGACTCTGATCAATGGGAAAATAAGATCAAAACAAGTGGCAACTAGGCTGGAAGAGCAAGCATTTGTATGCAGCGCTGTGGCGGAAGGTTCATTATCAAGTAGGCGAATATATAAAGAACTAATTATGACTTGAGTTTTAAAAAGTATCAAAGGACCAATAGATAACCAGGCAAAGAACAAGAGTAAAGAATCCACATAAAAAAGATATGATGAGGATTCATCATCAACACATGCAGATGAAACAGTCCTTTTTACTAGTAATTATGTAAAAGCAATTTGAAAAGAGAATCAACTATCAGCCTGTAGTTACTCAGTTAACAGAATTAAACTATCTGTGTTGACAAGGTTTCTGTCATCGTCCTCTGCTAATCTACTGCTCACAGAGATAATGGCTGGAAAATATAAACCAGCAATATCCTATTGTGTAGTCATAAAACCATTGACACTCTGTGACTCAACAACAGGCTTTCTCAGCATAAACTGAGTATTCAAATGAGGGGGGAAAGGTGAAGACACAAAAGTTCATTAAGGCCGAAGAGGAGGCACTCCCCAGCTCCTCCTTGGGAGACTGTCAATCCCAAGAGAGCAGGAATAGTGTTGTTGTTGTTGTTTTGTTTTGTCCTCGCCACTGAACTGTATGTAACACAGTAGGACTAGGTCAGTACCTGTTTAATCAATACGTTGCCAAACAAAAGACTAAGCATTCACCAGTGAGCACCAGTGAAGGAGACTGTACGTATCAACCCAGTGGTAAGATTATTTTCAAGGTAGCACCCACACTGGAGATGACGTAACAGTCACAGCTGGTGGGCGGAGTCTGGGGGGAACATGAAGACATTGTGAAGAAGAGGAAAGCCCTAGTCCAGAGAGAAGACTCAGCGGCTAAAAGTGCTTGTCACCAAGCCTGAAGACTTGAGTTCAATCCCCAGGACCCACACGGGGAAAGGAGACAATTGTCTCTCTTAAAGTTGTCCTCTGACCTCTGCATGCATGATATAGCATGCTTACCCCCTAAACACACAAACCAATAAACAAAAGTAAAAAAAGGAATAAATAAAAAACCCTGCCACAGAACTTGAGGTACACTTGTTGATTTTAGTGTTTTTTTTTTTGTTTTGTTTTGTTTTTTGCCTTTTAAGATTAAATAATACTGGCTTTGAAATACAGTTTTCCTTAAAACAAACCAACAAAATTGAAAGTCAGTTTATCAGACTTAATTGTAAATGATGGCTGATAACCAAGATTGTATCTTTGGCAGATCTGGAAGAAATAATAATCAATAGAACATGTTCACTAAGCATACTTGACATGGGATCAGACCTTTATAACAAACACCTCATTTAATACTCCCATCCCCCGAGGGAAGGGCTATAATGACCCCAGTTCATAGATGAAAAAATGGAGACCCGAGTGAGGGTTTAGTGATTCATCATCTACAAGTAACTGAGTTGGAGAGATGTAGGAGTCTTTAATCTGGGCACAGAACTGTACTGATGTAATGCCTCTGTGAAAGAAAAGAAGGATGAGGCAGAATTGAGTTTCCAACTTTGCTCTGTGACCACACACCAGCCAGCCACTCACACAAGCAGGCAGCAACCTTCCCATCCTTCAATGTAGAAAAGAGTCTGAGATCTTCACATACCTCCAATTAGGAAGCCAAAAGGAGATGAGAAAAGAAAAGATGTACCATTGAGACACAGCTAGCAACTGTTGAAGACAAGATCTCCTAAGATTCCTGGGCAAACTTTTGAAAGGCAAGCAAGATGCTTGAACAGTTCTGACCTATCTCCCTAAGATATTCATGAGTTAGAAATGCAAAAATATTAACTTCACAGAAGTCACCAGTTGTGGATTCCCCCAAGGGGTCATGTGCTTGAGATCTTGGTCCCCAGCTGGCAGGGCAGTTTGGGAAGGCTGTAGAACCTAGAGGGGTTGGAGCCTTACTGGAGGAAGTGGGCTGTTGGGACTGGTCTTTATACCCTACAGACTCACTTCTTTGACAAGCCAGACTTCTTGTCACATAGAACCAAAACCCTTTGCTCATGAGTTTCTTTTGGTCAGGGTATTTTATCCCACCAGGTAGCTAAAATAAGCTTGCCACTGATACGGCATTCTGACTGCATGCATTCCTGGTATGATGCTCTTCCGCCAAGACGAGGGCCTTCCTGTGCAGCCTAAACTGGTCTGAAACTCACAATCCTCCTGCGCCTGCCTCCTAGGTGCTGGAAGAACCTACTGTGCTTCCAGAGGTATTCTTTCCCCACATATATAACCTTGATGTATTCATAAAGAAACAACAACAAAAAAACAGACTCAAAGAAAGAGAGGGTCGTTCTACAAACTATCTAACCAGGACCCTTCAGAAGTTCTAAGTTATGGAGACACAGAAGGACTGAAGAACCATCACAGATTGGGGATTGGAAAGAAAGGTAACATGCACATGTCATGTGGCATCCTGCTTGGGGTCCTAGAACAGAAAGGGGACACTGGGAAACTGGTGAAACGTAGTTAAGACTGGAGTTAGGCAACTCTACTGCCCCATTGTCAGTGCCTTCATTCAACAGGGCCATGTGGCTGGAAGAGAGAAACAGTACAGAAGCTGGATGAATGGTGCTGGGAACTCTGGGTTCTGTATAACCTTTCTTTAAGCCTGAAATTAAAATTAAAAGATAAGGTTCCAAAAAGGTCATTGGGATCAAGTCCCATCACTCAAGACTTGACTCAGTGTGGGCAAACCACTTCCTCCTGTGGCCTCACCTCTAGGGTTTTGAGTTTCTATGCCTTGAGTTAGTATTATAGAATGTGGTAGAAATAATGTAGGTTTCCAAAGAGGCGCAGCCTGGGCTATTTTGCTTACAGTCAGTTATTTGACCTTGAGTGATATATTACCTTGACCTTTCTGTGGGTAAAGCACAGTGTGGAAATTCCAGCCCTGTGGGCTTGGTGTGAGACTGGCAAGGGGAGGGGTGGGGAACAGAGCCAGTGCTCTGTCAAGATTTGCCTCACACAACTGTGGGGAAGCGTGTGGCAGTGACATCCAGCCATGCTCCTGAAGCTCCTTAAGGCTGCTAGGTCCCGGGCCTTGAGAGACAGTTGCTTACCTGGGAGTCTCCATCCAGGGCTGCTTGGGCGTACATCTGCACAGACAGCTCCAGATCTTGGGACTGATTTTGGTGGCCATAGTAGTAAAGGTCTCCCATTTTCAAATATGCTGCAGAACACACACCACGTATCTACTTGTCAAATGGTTTTATTTCCAGGGGTGTCTGATTCGTTCCCCATAGGTTGGGAGAGCATATATGCCTATTTTGAGTGACACGGTGTTATGACATTGTCATCTAAAATTTCATGATCTAGAAACCATGCAATCAAGTTACAGAAAAAAACGCAAAAAAAAAAATGTCATAATGACGAATTGGTGTGGTGGCGCACATCTTTAACCCCGGCATTTGGGAAGCAGAAACAAGAAGATCTCTGTGAGTTCGAGGCCAGCCCTGTCTACATAATAAACTCCAGGATAGTCAGAAATAGTGACTATCCTGTCACTATTAGTGAGACACTGTCTCAAACAAACAACAAAACCCAAAAAAGCTCATACTATTCTAAGAAAGTTTATGATTCTAATTTTGACAATATTCTATGCAATCTTGGCCCACATGTTGACACCCTTATTGTAGACCAACATGTTAAATCACTGTAATAGTATGTTTACATGTGCTTGTAAAACCCTGTTCTAGCTTTAATTGTCAGCCTCTAACTATAAAATTGATACAACCTAAAGTCACCTGAAAGGAAAACCTCAGCTGATGAATAGCCTAGGTAGGATTGGCCTGCGGGCATGTCTGTGAAGAACTGTCTTGATTAGTGATTGGTACAGGAGGGCCTACTCCACCGTGGGCGACACCAACCCTAGGAAGGTGGTTCTGGGCTATATAAGAAAGTCCATAAAATAAACATAAGCCATCAAATTAGAGCGCCAGAGAACAAGCCAGCAAGCAGCATTCCCCCCTGGTTTCTGTCTCCAGGATCCTGCCTTGAGCATGCACCCCGACTTACCTTGTTGATAGAATGTGACCTGGATGTATATGGCAAATAGACACTTCTCTACCCAAGCTACATATACAGGGTGCTTCTATCATGGCAACAGAAGGCTGAACAGATATCTTTACACTTCCTTTGATGAAAGTTTTATGCCCAGAGCTCTTCCATCCATAGACATATTGTATTCCTCTGTTGGCTCCCTGAACAGGTCTGCTTGGGAGAACCTCCGTCAGCAGGTTCATAACCCATGAGTTGAGGCCCTTGAGTCTGTGTCACAGCTTCAGTGCTGCAGCCTGTCCTACATATGTCCTATACCATCTTGACTGTTTCAGCCATGTAATTCATCTGCTTAGGTGTGTAGCTATAACTCAACGCCAAAAGAGAAAAGCAGACTCCATCTCTGGAGGCTGCACAGAGGACTTTCACCATTGGAATTGGGTGCCAGTGTTGGAGGAGCACTAAAGGGTGAATGGGAAATAGGAGATGACTTGGGGATCAGTGCTTAGGAAGCAAATGTCATCCTTGGGGTACAAGAGGGAGGTAAAAAAAAAAAGATGGATGTGATACTGTCAGGGCTTCATGGACCTGTGAGAGCTGAGACCAAAGATGAGAGAGTTGCCTGGTGGGGGCTAGAACACTGAAGGGGCTCCTGCCAGAAGCTAGGGGCAAAAAGAAGAAAACCCAGGAGGTCAACCTGGGCCTCTTCCTCCCTCCCATGAGGCAATCTTCCAACAGTGCCTCCAGGCGGTAGACTTTCTACTGAATGCCCTGAACAAAGAAGACTGGGCACTGTAGTTCCTGGAGGCTGGCCTCTACCCAGAGACCAGAACAGAGGGCCTAGGAGCCCCTCTGTGGGCGGGAAGACAAAGGGCAAGCCAGGGAACTGCAACATAACAGCAGTCTCCTTAGAGATGTCTTGGTTTGGAAGAAGTTGTTGGTTTGCAGGACGTGCACAGCAGGAGGCTGACAGCAGCTTAGCTGTGACCTTAATAGCAGACATTTTTCACTTTCTTCCCTAATTGTTTAGAAATATCACACTCCATATCAAACTGTTAGATGGTCGCTGTTAGTAAAGATTAAAACCTCCCCAACACCCCTGTTTAGCACCTGTTTTGCTATACATACCAAATGAAGGAGCATCGATTTGAAAAACAGAGAAATTATAGTATCGCCAAACACAATTAATGCCCAAGTATCTTCCAGCCAGGTCCTAGGAGGGAAAGGGGAGAGAAAGTTAATTCACTAATATCTCGGCCTAGTGACTAATTTCGCCTCTGTAAAACTCAATTTATTGTCTTTAACCTCAGAGCTTGTACTGAGAGAAGAATAGAATACATTACTTACTGGCCGCTCCTCGCAGATGTGTGCTAAATTTGTCTGTGACACTTCAATTCCAGTTTCTGCTGCTAAAACATAATACAGCAAAGCTTCGTGCCTAAAAATAGATGATTAATAATAAATTTCATATAGTGGCTCTTACTAATACTCAGAGAGCTTTATATTCAAACATAAGAGGGCACAAAAATAAGCAGGTTTTTAAAACCGCAAAATCATGAGTTTTTTCCCCCCTCCCTTAAATAAATACTGTTGTTAAAAATACTGCCTGCACTGATTTATTTTTCCTTAAACGCTGAAGGGACAGATAAGGCCAGAGCTACTTGATACAACAGCTACCTCTACTGGTTGAATGGCATGTGGCCGTGCAGGCTGGGGACTATCCGCAGGCCCTAGGTTCTCGAAGCCTTCCTTCATCTTTTAGAATGAGTGGTATTAAGAAAAATCCCTGAGCTTTACAGCCCTCTGTTTCTTGAAAGGCTTTCTAGGGCTTAGGGTTCTGAACAAGCTTAATTAAGCTGGGCTTTTGTTATGCATTAGAAGTTTGACAAAGAAAAGTGGTTTACAAGTGCTTGACAGCAGTGGTCAAAAAGTACGACAAAATAAATGTTGAACACAGCCGGCAATTGCCTAGGATTTAGATATGGCCCTACACCCACTGACAGAGGGAAGGCAAGAGAACACGATGGTCCTGGAGGATGAGGTAACCCAAGATGCACCAAATGGCCTTCACGTCTCGCCTGTGGGGTTCATCCTGAAGGGAAGAGCCAGAACTATGCACAAAGACTACCGTTGGGAGTTCACGGGAGGGCTGCCCCGATAAACCAGGAGAGAGGAAGCGGGAGATAACATCTGTCTGCCTGTGAGTGGTGCGGGGACTCCATGGCGTAGCGTCCAGATGGGGCCGCTCAGAATACTATCACAAGATGGTGCGGTGGGTCCACAGTCCCAGCCCTTGAAAGGCAGGAGCAGGGCGGTTCAGAGTTCAGGCTCATTCGTGGATGCCCAGGATATTGGAGGCCAGTCTGGGCTCCATGCTACATGAGACCTTGTCTAAAAAAATAACAAACAGCTGGGTGGGGGTTGAGGCTCAATTGGTAGAGTGCTTGCCTACCATGTACAGAGGCCTGGGGAAAACAAACAAACAAACAAACATGTGCATACAGAAGACAAAACTCTCCTGGTCAGTGCCAACTCATCATGCCTCTCTCATTTGGTGAGAGTGCATGCAATTTTTATTTTCTTTTTTTTTTAACTACCTGCTTCCTTAATTATGCATGTGATCCAGTTTATGAGGAAAAATGAATCATAAGTAGTTGTTCCCAAAGCTTACTTTTCACTCGGAGCAGTTGATTTTGGTAATGCCTTCTTCGTTTTAGCTCCACTTAGGAAGTGGGCTGGGGGGAGGGTAGGGAGAGTATGGGGGAGGCAAAAGCAGGCAAACAGTCTGAAGTCATCTCTGCTAAACAGCTGTGGGGGAGCAGCTATGGAGGACCATGTCAGACCTTAAAGAGGTGTTTGGAGATCAAACTAGGACGCTCAGAGCTTCGGTCAGACCTATGTGGGCCGTGGGCCCTATGGCTACAAAAGGAGCCAATTCACAGCCTATGAGAGACCCAAAGCAGCAACCCATTAGCCGTGGCTCATGCTAAGGAGAGCTGAGGTCAGCTGAGCAGTGCCCCCTGCAAAGACAAAGTAACAAGCCCACAACTGTACAGTAAATACCACCCAGGCTCCAACAAGCAAGCTTGGGTAGCAAATTCCTCAGAACAGAGCAGGCCCCAGAGAACATGTCAGCGGGACCCAGCAGAAAGCTACCTCCTTCCACAACAAGGTCTAGTCTTACATATTCTCTGTCTGTCTCTTCTTTTTGAGATGGGGTTTTATGTATCTGTACCCCAGAATGGCCTGAACTTGCTCTGTAGCTGAGGATAACTTTGTGTTACTATTTTTACCTGCTAGATACTGAAATTACAGGAGTGTGCCACCACCATTGTGCTGGGGCACGAACCCAGGGCTTTCTGTGTGCTAGGCAAGGTCTCAAGATCTCAGTTCTTTCAGAGTTAAATGGGTTGTACTCATGCCTGGGTTTCCACCCAGAATGCACGAGGGCCAGGTGACGTGACACTTGCCTTTAGTCCCAGCACTCAAGAGGAGGCAGAGACTGGAGCTGCTCTGTGAGTTTGAGGTCAGCCTGGTCTACGTGCTCCAGAGCAGCCAGGACTACATAGAGAGATCCTGTCTCAAAAATCGATGAATGAATGAATGAATGAATGAATGAATGAATGAATGAATAATTTAAAAGCTCACAAAGGTTTACAGTCCAAGGTCAAGACCTGGGCCTTGAAGAAATGAAATGCGGCTCACATGAAAACATAAATGCTAAGAGCTTCTCTTGAACAAGAGAAAACTCATCTGGCTATGAGAACCGAGAGTGAGAGGTGAGCGTGAGATTGACATTCTCCATAAGAACAGTCCCTAGGAGAAAGCTTACAATGGCACAGCCTCATCTCTCAGGTTACCTTGGTGATAGGGAGAAGAGAGTCTTCTGTTGTCCAATTATTATATAAACCAAGAGGAAAGTTTACAGGATTCTAAAGCATTTCCATCAAGGAAGAACTGAGCCCCATCAAAATGAGATGTCCAAAAGCATCTCTGTCAATATCAGTGCTCAACAGAAATCCACCTCATCTACCGTCTGCCAGAATCAATCACCAGATGCCTGCGTGGCTGATGTCATCGCATTTCCTCCTGAAAATCGACATCTACAGGGGAAGAGACATTCCAGACCAACCTTCCCCACATATTAAAACTTCAGAAGGGCTGAGGAGATGGCTCAGTGTACAGGGGCTTGCTGTGGACACGTGAGAACCTGAGTTCAGATTCCCTGTGCTGACATAGAAAGCCAGGCATGATAGCATGTGTTTGGAACAGCATGTGTTTGGTGAGGACTGAGATGAGAGAGGGCAGATATAGGCAGATCTCAGGGGCTTGCTGGGCAGCCAGCCTAGCTGAAATGATGAATCCAGGTTCAGCAGGATCCTGTCAACAAATAAGATGAGGAACAAAAGAGGAAAAAATCCCAAGTCACCTGTTGCCTCCTCATAACACACACAAACACACACACACACATGCACACAAAGATTTCTGAGACACAGACCTTCCCATATGTCACCTCCTAGCATTCAATTGACTATCTCAGCAGAAATCATGTGAAAGTATTATTTACAGATTTTCTACTTGTGCATTCTGGAACAAACATTTGCTCAGCATTTGCCCAGAAGGTAGACTTCAATGCTTTCCTGCTCTTCTGTGAAGTCCCTCGAGGTTGAGAAGGGTAACTAGTATTCCCATGCACAGATGCCCAACTCTTTCATGACAGTCACTGGGACAGAAACGGTGAACAGGCACAAATAAGAAGGGATTCACGGAGAACGGACTGAGACACATTCTCTGCCTTCCGTCTCCGACCTGGCATATAATGTCTCTAGCACCTTCCTGATAATACATCTTCATAACGGCTTATTTGGCCACCTGCTGTAAATGGTGAGCTGAAGCACCTCTGAGTGGTTTCTCAAACAATTATACTATTTCCTCTGTGCTTTTTTGTGCTAATGTCTGAAGCAGCTCAGACAAGAAAGATGAGGGGTGGGGAGAAGCACCTGACGCTTAGGCTCTCCAGTGGAATTCATTGCTGCATTACGAAAAGGTGACTCTCTTCCATCCTCAGCTTGGCATGCTTCTTTGTCTCACAGCAAGCCAGCTGCACACTGGCTAATCTCTAGCGTTAAGCATTTGGGGTACGTTGAAGACAAAGAGCAGTGAAACTCACAGCTGGAAGAGAAAATACGCACAAATAAAGCGGACAGAAATGAAACATGACGGGTGGCCCAGCCTTGCTAACTCCTTCTAGTGTCCAAGGACCGCCTCCGGCACGACAAAATTATCTTCCGAGTTATGCTGATGCAGCAAAAATCCCTTTCTCCGGCATGGTCCTCCCTTAAACAATCCCACATAAATCTTAGAACAACAGAAAAAGCCACAAGCGCATCAAACTGACACATGTAATTTAGAAAGAATGTCCAGGGGCTGGGGACATTGATGGATGCCTTAGTTCTATTACAGCAAAACAGAAGGTGCTTCACAGTCGGCGGCTGTTTACTGGGGGGGAGGGCTGGGGGACTGGGAGGACAGCCTTAGAAGCACTTTACTCCAAATATATTTTGACAAAGATCTTCCCACTGTGATGGATATAGATGATTTTTTTTTCTGTCAGACTGAGGTCTCAAAAACAGACTGATTGCATCAGCCATACTTAGCATCAGGATTAAGACTGGCAAGGACGAGGAGGGGCAGAGGTGTATACATGATGGCAGGACAGCAACGGGAAAGCATTCTTGGGGGCAACCAGCACTGCGAGGCCGAATAGGTAGCAGGCACCTCTGCCGAGACTCAGGGACCCCACTGGAAAGTTTAATCATCAGCAGGTCCTTCGGCCCAATTTTCAAGCCACATGGGGCTTCAAGACAACACAAAGGACACGCAAACATGCATGAACAGGAGAATGTTGGTCTGTGACAGCAGAGGATATGCCTCAAGGTTATCTAGAGGCAGGAATTGAATCGTAGAAGCATGTTAGCTTGAAAAAAGCAGTTGAAGAATTCCATGTATCATGACTAATAATGTAAAGGCTGGAAGGAGGCCAAACTAGGCCCCCTGCGTGCAAACACATCCATGGAGAGAAGAATCTAAAAGCAAACAAGAGGTGGGTGCATAAGAAGATCTGGCAAGAGGTATTTCCAGGGACTGGGCTGGTGGTGGCACAACTCAGTCCGGGAGGGGCCTGCAGGAGTTTCACCAGCACAGGACCAGAGCCATGCTCATTGTCTCTCCCTCCTCCCCCTTCCTATCCTTTCTTCTCTCCCTTCCTCCTTTTAAGCTTCCATCCTTCCCTGGCTGGCCTGGCATTCACAGAGATCTACCTGCCTCTGCCTCCTGAGTCCTGGGATTACCACCATGCTCAGCCCTCTCTCCCTTCTCCTTTCTTCTCTTTTCTTCCTCCCTTGATTTCACTAAGTTGCCCAGGCTGTCCTAGAACTGACTGTTGTCAGTCAGGGCTGGCCTTGAACCTGAGAACTTTCTGACTCAGTGGTGAGGTCCAAGGCATGCACTGCTCCCCTCAGTTCATGATTATTTTCTTAGAGAAGACCTTGTTGGTCTTTACTGTTAGCTTCTGAGCTCATGTCTGTGTCATGCTATTTTGTGTGGGTCTCTATTAGGTAAACAAAGAAAAACCAGTCAACTGATTCAAGCCACATGTTCAGTTCAAATGCTTGGCTCCCTTAACTTGGATTCTGAATTAGCCCTCTTTCCATTCTTGTCGCCAATTAAGTAAAAAGTAGATTCTTTGTCACTCATAATCCCATCAAACAGAATGTCTCTGGCTTTACTATATTTTATTCAAGAGTTGCTCTCTTGCAAATTGAATGGCTTAAATTTTTTCAATCTTACTTGTTTTTTCTTTACTTCTGCTCCCGAAGTCTCCTTTGCTAGAAACTCTGCTCCCTGCCTGGCTAAGAGAACACTCTACCCATCCTTCAGGCTGTATTTTCCCTAATTCTCCCATCAAGGCTGTTGCAAGCCTCCCAAGCCAGGTAGCATCTTTTCCTCATCCAAAACTTCAAAGACAATGTCACTATCCTTCATCTATTTGTCTTGTTAATTCACTTAGAAGTTTCTGAATGCTTCCCGGGTACTCCCGGGTGCAGGGCACTGTGACAGCTGGGAACAGACATGCCCCATGATGGACAAAGGGGGAAACGAGTTGGGCAGGATTCCAGGGTAGAAGGAATGGCCAGTGCAGAGGCCTGGAGTTGGACTAAACACAAGCCATGTGAGAAAATACACGTGCAAGAGGAGGGTCAGTGAACAGTCCCCAAGCGTGACTATTGCCATCCTTGCTGTCAGTGGTGACGTGGCCTACATTTAGGCCCTATATCTATTTTTTTCTCTAAATAATGCTTTTTATTTTTTGAAAGTTCTGTACAGTTGGGTTTTTAAACTTTTATTATTTTTAATTGTGTGTCTGTCTGTCCATCTATGCTGTCATGTGCACATGAGTACAGGTGCCCACAAAGGCCAGAGGTATGACATTCCTCTGGAATTAGTTGTGTGCTGTTTGCTGCGGGTGCCGGGAGGCGAACTCAGGTCCCCAGGAAGTGTCCTGCATACCCTTAACCGCTTAGCTACCCCTGAAGCCTACTGCAGTGGCTCTCAACAGAACCAGAAATTCACGCACAGGGCAGCACACACCCACATTCTCTACCATGGACACCCACGATGTGTGCAAGAGAGCACGTATGATGGCTGAGTTCAAGAAAGCAGACAAACCCAGCACATTCCTATTCGTGTAACCCTCCGTGGCAGGCTTTAAAATGTGCGAGCTGAAGTGCTTTGTGAAGTTTAATTCAAAAGCAGGCAAGGAAACAAAGCTATCAGCAGACCCTCTGTGTGGAAACACAAGCAGCGGACATCTGAGGGTGCGTCTCCAGGCCTCGAGGTGTTTGCAGACACCTTCCTCTTTGAGGAAAACACCACAAAAGAATACTTTGATAACTGGGTGTTTAGTTCACCCTAAGAAGCCTGTGAGAAGAAGAGCTGGGAGGTTGAAAGCGAAGTTATAGATTGGAGAGAAGGTTTTTGTTTGTTTGCTTGTTTGTTTTTTCAGACAGGGTTTTGCTATGTAGCCTTGGCTAGCCTGGAACTCACTATGTAGAGCTGGCTGGCCTTGAACTTTTTGTGATCTTCCTGCCTCAGACTTCCAGAGTGCTGGGACTAAAGGTCTGCACCACTGCTCCCAGCCCTGGGGCTGAGATTCTTAGGAAACAAGATATAACACAGCACAGATGTGTTGAGGCATGAACACAGCTGGGGTTAGTCATTTCACTTACAGAAACTTCTTCCTGATCATGCGTGGGGAAGCTATTGATAATGAGCTGTTCCAGGATGACAAAACAAACATTTATATTTGGTGCTTTTTCAAGAGCCTCATTTCCCAGCATGCTTTGATTTAAGATCCTTGCTCACTGAGCTGTTGGTTTAGCCATGGACCAAAAGGGGAAATGGCATCCTTTTGGGCCTGTGCTTTTATTTTTAATTAAGGTTCATGATCTATTCTAGGTTTGGTCTAATGTCTTTGAGGCAGTGGACCGAGGGGATTTCTGATGATTTGCATATCCATTTTCGTTATTATGGAAATACCCGGATCATTTAGGCAATAAACCAGCTAAGAAAATGTGGCCTGAGGGAGCAAAGATAGAGTGCTAGACTCCACAAAAGAAAACAAAATGGGGGTGGGGGGGGAAGGCAGATGGCACTTGAAAGCTGCCTGACGATTTATAAGATCTCCGAACAGTGAGACAGGGTTTGCAAGAGTCCGAATGGAGTCTCATCTCTTCAGGACAGAATGGGTTGTCCAAGCAAAGCTTGGAAAGGGGCATCTGACAACTCTGGCTTCCTAGGTGCAGCCTACTATTTGTGAAGGGGAAGGGCAGAGCCCTGACCCAACACGCTGGTATATCTTCTTCCCACCCACCAAGCAATCACCTGGCAGGGTAAAGAGGACTCTCACCAGGGACGGCCCATGCAGTCTCTAACTCTACAGCCAAGAAAAGCAGGTTTGGAGGAGACAGAAGTCAGTGTATGTGTGTGTCTCTCAACTTGATGAATGTGGACACTCCCGCCCTAGAGAACTAATTTTTGTGTATAATTAAACATGGAAATGCAATGTTTTCCAATCAGCAGCCAATCAGTCTGTGTGACTCTGAATCTCATTACTGGAAGACTGTGATCTCCCTGCAAATTGCTCTTTTGGGTTGCATTTTAAGATTTGTTCTTCCAAGACTATTTTGACAGGTTGAACATGAAGGGCTGAGGAAGTTTACTCTGCAGGCCCCGAGCTTACCACAAACCCTCCAGGTAGGCATTGAGGCCTTTGCGAATGACATGCCCCAAGTATCCATTTTTCTCAGCCACATGCTTTGCCCATCTGAAAAAGAAAGGAAAGAGAAGGGAAATGATGCAGACTGCAGGAGATTAAATAATCACCTTTCCTCACATGATCTCCATAAATCCCACTTGGGGAATATTTTCTTGTTTGAATTTTTATAAAGCAACAAAAGCAGAACAGAATATTAAGAAGGTAAAGAGGATGCATTTTGAGAGCTCTGTTCAATGTCCTCATTTGCGAACGCAGAGCAGCAGTCTGCTATGGAAACAAAGACACGCAGAACACATAATGTAACATTCTCCTGATACAGAGAGACATCTCGGCCAAGGGTTCTGTAACTGCTCCTATTAAAATAAGTTTACTGGAGCTATCAGAGGTACAACAGGGGTTTAGTATGTGTTAGACCCTGGATTCAAACCCTGGTACCACAAAAAGTAAATAAACAAATAAATACACTGACTGACGTATGGTGTGGTGCTTAAGGTTTCTTTATCTTTTTCATCTGCTCCCTAATGCATCCCGGAGGGGCTTAACAATGAATTAATGTGCTGTAATCGTGGACTTAAATCGCTAAAGATATAATATATAAAACTTTGCTAAGTGTGGTGGTATACACCTTTCATCTCAACACTTGGGAGAGAAAACGGGATAATTTTTTCTGAGTTTGATGCCAGGTTGGTCTGCATGGTGAGTTTCATGGACAGCCAGAACTACATAGAGAAACCTATCTCAGAAAAATAAAAAATCAAAAGTATGAAAATGAATAGGTACCAGTTAATAGAAGGGGAACATAGAATAACTTATAAAACAATTGATTAATACAAAAAGGTTAATAAAAGATATGAAATGAACCAGATAGGATAGACAGGAAATAATAAAATAATATATTTTATAGGTTTATTTACTTTATTTGGTGTGTATGGGTGTTTGCCTTTGCATATACATATACCACATGCATGCCTGGCACTCTCTGAAGGTCAGGAGAAGGGACTGAATTCCCTAAAACTGGAGTTATAGATGTCTGTGAGTCCTCAGGGGTGTCCTCTGCAAGAGCAATGACTGGTCTTAACCCCCAAGCCGTCTCCCCAGCCCTAAAATAGTAGATTTTAAAACCAAGTGTATCTACAATTGCATTGAATATAAATGAGCTACATATGCCAATTAAAAACTAAAATTGTCAGGCAGGATAATTTCTATATAAAACTCAATTTATGACGCTTATAAGAGCTATACATAAAGAGAAGGGTGATGCAGTAAGGGACAGAGAAAGAACTAAAGTAAATGGAGACTAAGGCAGTGCCCACTAATAGACATAAAAAAGAACACTATGAAATTATAAAAGCGTCCACTCGAAAAGCAGAATAAATGTATGTGATCCAATTACACAAGTTCAAGATATACAGTACAAAACTGACATAATATAAGGAAGGAAGTTAAATCTTTACACAGAGAGAGTTCCAACACATTTCTTCAGTAAATGACTTAACAAGCAGGGCAAGAAAAGCCAGAAGGAATACGGAAGGTCTGAACAATGTGCGCAGGCACTGCACCCAGCGAGCTTAGAAGAGATTGTTTTAAAGCATCTAACAAAACTGTCCTCACACTGCTCCCCAAGCATGCTTCAGTGAGTTCCCAAGGCGGCGGTCACTGAGACTATGCTCTCTGATCATCAGAGACAGCAGACCACTAAAAAAAATTCACACCGTGTGAACGCTCACCCCGAACACCCTACAGAACAACGAGAAAAGACTTCAAATTAGCCGAGGCTTTATCGCTAAGGTAAGGTCAGAATGGATTTGATCCCAAATGTCTTTAGAAAAACATCCTTTCAGAGAGCCAGGCTACAGGTGAGATGTAGCCGAGGGCACAGTCAATCATGTTTCTTTTTTCCTTAACTTTGTAGGTCGCAGACGGTTTTTCTTTGTTTGATTTGTAACCTGTTATAAATGTTTGCAGAGCCCTGCAGAGCAGGCACTAAACCACATTGCATCCATGAGCTCCAGTGGGCCAGATTTTGAGAAGCATTTTGGGTAGGCCAAACTTTAAAAATGTGCCTCCTTGGCGGCTGGAGAGACGGGTCAGTGGTTCAGAGCAATTGCCGACCTTGCCGCTGAACCTGGTTCTGGCCACAGGAGGCCCACAGCTGTTTATAACTCTAGTTCCGGGGGATCGGATGCCCTCTTTTGACCAGTGTGGGCACTGCATCCGCACAGTGCACAGATATACGTGCAAGGCAAAGCACACATACACGTGAAATAAAAAGAAATAAAGCCTTTTTTAAACACGCCTCCTTCTTACCAGTCTTCAGGAAGTTATTGCAAGATAGATTCCAACAAAACATTGGAAAGAGAAGAACTGAGAAAAACAAGGTGCAGCCTGGGGAACCAAAACACTGCCAAAAACAGAGAGAGGGAAGGGGAAAACCCAACATGGGACATGTTGATCTCAGAATGACAGCACTGCCCCCCAACCCCCAAAGGTTCCAGGAAAAATACTACCAAGAAGATAAACTTGATAGAACACGCTATGTGTCTGGGCATGCTGAGAGGGGATCTCAGTGGCAGGAGAATTTGATCAAGAATAATAATAATTGAAAAAAGACGGGACTGGAAAGATGGCTCCACAGTTAAGAGAGCTGGCTGCTCTTCCAGAGGACGTGGGTTTGATAACCAGCACACAAGTCTGGCTCACAACCATCTGTCACTCCAGTTCTAGGCTATCTAACACCCGCTTCTTGCCTCCTTTGGCACCAGGCATACACATGGTATACAGACATATGTTCAGGCAAAACACCCATGTGCATAAAATAATTAAATTAAATTAAAATAAATAAATAACTATTTTTTAAAGACTATGGAATATGACACGCATGTATAAGAATAAAAGTAACACTTCCTCAATAGAAGCCTGTACAAGAAAGAAAAGCTAGGGTAGTGTGATTCATGTCTTAGTCATATTAATTCAAATCTGATGCTCTTCTAAGCAAGACACAAAGCTTACGGGGAAGCCTCGGAGTGGTGGGTCCTGAGAGGTGGCAGAGAAAGAAAAGTATGTCTTCATTCTCTTGGGAAGCATGGCTGGACAAGGCCTGTGATGGAACTGCTAAAACAGTACTGAGAGCTTGACACTTGGAGGCGGAGGCCAGGAAAGAAGAGCTAGAAGGCAGGTGCTGACTTAGTCTATAGACCAGGAACTGGATGGGGGAGCGGGGGCAGTGATTGCTTGTTTTGTCTTACTGAATTTTTTAATTAAAAAATTTAAAGTGCTTCACCTGTCAATCATTTGGTTTTTCTTTCACATTTTAACAGTATATGCTTTAATTTTATGGCTGTTTTACCTACATGTATGTCTACGCAACACGTGTACCTGGTACCTGGAGGGTAAAAGGGGGAATTGAGACCCCCAGAGTTGGACCTAAAAATGGCAATGAGCTGCTGTGTGGATGTTAGGACCTGAACTCAGGTGTCCTGTGTAAGGGCAGCAAGTGCTCTTAATCTCTCAGCCATCTCTCCAGTCCCAATTATTTGTGTTTTTTTTTCTTTTAAATCTACATGCATGTGTAAATGATAAATGTAAACACTGAATTTTTAAAAGTGCAAAGAGAGATAAAGAAATAAACAGAAGGGGGAGGGAAGTGAGAAGAGGAATGGAATGAGAGAGGATAGGAGGGAGAAAAGAAAGGAAGGAGAGAGGAAGGGGGAAGGGAAAGAAAAATATCCCTTTTGCCCGGCAAGGTGAATGGAGGACATGGCTTCCCAATGGTAGGCGACATTTAAAAGACTCTTACACAACAGCTTTCTCAGGATCTCTGGGGAAGGTCTCCAGGTTGCCTGTGATGTAGTAAAGCGAACACCACAATGTCCCTTCGATGTGTCCCCCTTGGGCAGCTTTGTGGAAGTAGTCACCAGCTAGTGTCTGTAAAGAGAGATGAACAAAGTCCCTGTCATTACTGCAGAGTCCTCCTGGCTGCAATGGCTTTGGCAGAGCCAGGGTCGGGAGGTATCCCAAGCACCACATTATCACAGGCTTACGTCTTCTCACACTTTAAAGCAAACCAGGTCAAGAAATAGCTCCAAAAAGACAGTTCATCCCAGAGACCTGGGAAATACCATCTCTCCAAGAGCCATTCTGTTGATTTTGTTTACCCAATAAAGAAGACACCATGGAACCAGGAGCATGTTGCCGCCTCATTGGGTCCTCACAAAACCCCTGCACGCTTGATGGAAGGGTGTGACAGGAGTCACACAGGGTGACAACTCAAGCATTTGCTTTCCTAACCTCACTTAATACCTTTCTTTACGCTCATGCACAAAAATGGCACTTCTAGTGGCAAAGTGAGAATTAGAATGTGACGGGGAATAAATCCACACGCACAGATGTGTGGGAGGGCTACCAGACATTTGCAATGCATAAAAATATCAGCATTAGTGCAGTCGGGGAGAGGTGGAGGGAAAGAAGAAAACAAACATGTGTGTGTGTGTGTGTGTGTGTGTGTGTGTGCTGACTCCCATTGATCGCCAATGTTTTTCAGAAGTCAGTGAACTATTGTTTTTTTGTTTTGCTTTTTAACTTCTTATTTTTTCACTTTTTATTTATTACAATTTATTCACTTTGTATCCCATCTGTAACCCTGTCCCTTGTCCCTTCCCAATCCCTCCCACCCTCCCTCTTCTCCTCCTTCCCAGTCCACTGATAGGGAAGGTCCTCCTTTACTCCCATCTGACTTGGGATAGTCTCCCATGAGACTATCAAGTCTCATCAGACCCTCTGCATTGTCTTCCTCTGTGGCCTGGTAAAGCTGCAACCCCTTCAGGGGGAGGTGATCAAAGAGCAGGCCATGAGTTCATGTCAGACACAGTCCCTGTTCCCCTTACTAGGAAGCCCATTTGGACACAGAGCTGCCATGGGCTACATCTGTATAGGGGTTCTAGGTTATCTCCATGAATGGTCCTTTGTTGGAGTATCAGTCTCAGAAAAGACGACTGGGTTCAGATTTTGTTTTTAAAAAGCTTTACAGGCAGGAAGGGCATGGGATTGTATCCCAGCACCCTTTCTGACAATCTGTGTGGCCTTATCCTTTTCAAGCCTCTTTTGTTGTTTTCAACTTTAAAATCTAGGTGAGAACTTGTCTTAATTTTTTGTAAATAACACAAGTGGCTCCTGACACTTCCTAGTGGGGAGTGAAGTGTGGGTTACATGAGAAGAGGGGTTCTGAAGGTAAGACTGGTATCTTACAAAGAACACCTCCCAACTCACTCTGATACCCCTTGCCAAATCTAGGGCGACCATACTATTGTCCATCCCAACATCTGCCACCTCCATTCATAATCTCAGTAAATGTCATCACTGACTGCTCCCCGTTCTCATATCCCCAGGCCAACCCATCGGCACCCATCTTCAACATATCTTTGGTAGCCAATCACAGAAGCCCTGGCTTCTGCCGTTCCATCTCTCATAGATGCGGACTCAACCTCCTGTCCTCCCCTCGTCTCCTTCCTAGTCACTAGAACCCTGGAGGGGTCCTTGAAAGCATGCCCCCTTCACTCAGATAGGCTCCTACTTCATGACTGTCATTGGTGGCTTCTCCCTCGGCATAGAAGTCAAGTCTCACCAGGTCCAGTTCAGGGACCTCCTCGACCTCATCTCCCGTTTGTCCCCCGTGCCTCTCTCTCTTAGCCTTCCTGCTGGTCTTCTAGCATGTCAAGCCTGCCTGCATCCTTCTAGGGGTCTTAATTTGTCCTTACTACTCTCTGCTTCTGGGTTGTTCTCTTAAATATCCATAAGATCCTTTAGAAGCCTTTTCAGTATCCCCTAACCAGAGAAGGCTTTCTGGGCCTCCCTTCTAAAACAGCATCTTCAGTCTCCTCTGGTCCCTTCCCCTTTGTCCCTCTCATCAGGGCAGAGTCTGCTGTGCCCAGTGCTGTGTCCCCAGAGACTTTAGTGTGCCTGGCCTACATGTTACAGTTCTGAGTTATGATTCCCATCAGCAGTGTGACCGTGAAAAGAGAGGATTCCCATATCATACCAAGGGCCAGGTCCCAGTTCAAACTAACCATATGACTCAGAGATCTGGTGACCTATTGTATAAGGCAGACACAGTCATAGCTGAGGCTTCAGAGGCTGGGATACATGGATCTTACTTCCGAAGTACTTGACACTTGGGCAAGTGCCCAGTAAACGCCCCATATGCCCTCTGCTCTTTGCTTTGTAACTTTGGTCGAACCCGTGGCAACTCTATCCACACCTGCTCCTTTCTGCTCCTTAGAAGGTCAGTCTCCCTGAACTTTCTCTTGCTCTCTCACGGTGGACCATTTCCCTTTCGGTCCTCTACTCAACCCTTCCTGCTCTACAAAACTTTTTGGCTGCTCTGGTTCTGCTCCCTGGAAGTCCTTAGATCACCTCCCAATGGCTAAAGGCATTCCTCAAGGCCATCATGCTCTCCTCACTAGACCACGAGGTTCTTGAGGGTAGGTACATGCTTCACTCTCACATCCCTCTCACACTGTGGTGCCTAGTCCAGCCTGGCACTTCCCATACCTTCCCCACAATCCCCAGCTAGCCACTGGCCAGGTTCACTCACCAGATTCCTTCCGGGAACCCCTGGGAAAATGCCATCCAAATACAGGACCCCAAGATTGTAAGATGCATCTGGGTTCCCCATTTCTTCTGCTTTCAACCAGTACTTTGCTGCTTTGGCATAATTTTTCCTGAATTTGTGGTAATACCATCCGAGGCCATTGACAGCCTGATGCAATCCCTGAATTTTAGAACAAGAGGAAAGTTATTATTATTTTTATTATTATTTTAATGACATCGAAAGACATCTGGAAGCAGTTGCTACAGCAGCGTTTTCCCAGAGTCTTCCCTTTCTCTTTTCCGAGGGGCAGATGGCACTAAAGAAAAGCTAACTGCTAGACAGCCCGGGCCTGCCTAAGAGACTTCCCAGGTGGATTTTGCCCGGCTGCTGCTGGGTTTTCTGCCTTCCAGCTCAATAGTGACGCTGGTCCCCAAACCATTGCTCAATGCCTATGGGCAGTTATGTAACACCCCTGCAAATGTCTCTCTTCGGGAAGGACATTTTCCCAGCCCTTCAATTTCATGAGGACTGGGCTGCAGCGGATGTTTGAGCTTGACTCCCACCCTGGCTGGGAAAATGCTAGGTGACCCGCCTGCCCATCTGTTGACTTCCTCTGCCCTAAACACCAACAAGCCTCCGAGGGCAGCAGCTGTGACAATCCACTCGCACAGCTTCGGTGCTTTGAGATGAGTTGGCATCCCCGGTTCTGATGGGATTTGGGGGCTGATAGCAGCAGGAAAGGATGGAGAGGAAAAGTTTCAAAACTGAGTTGGTAATGTCAGCTCTAGGAAAGGGGCTGTTTATGTCAACCTGTCCTCTAGTGTCCTTGTACTTACTGAGTGCATTTCATTGTGGACTCTCTCCTACTCTCAGAGATGCTCAGACCATGTCTTGCAGGACAAGAATAATCCCGAGAGATCCTCCTGCCCTGCTGTAACACACCTGTGTGCACTTTGAGCTCTCGTTTCTCACTCTTAGTCTGACCTAAAGAACAGTCTCATTGTGGAAGCATATCATTTTAGCCACTCCTTTCATCGGGGCTGGGTCGGGGGGAGACTGGCATCTTGGTTTTTATCCCCATCACTTAAGCAAGTGCCATGACACTTAAGCAAGTGCCATGAATGGAATGAATGAAAGCTTGCAGGCACGAAACAAAACTGCAGATCCTCAAGGTGGAGAGCCATACCTGCAGGCCACCGAGATACCCAGACTAGAAGTACCACTTGAGCATAGTCAGCACCATGACATCCCCAGAAGCATTCTTTTGAGCCTGGGACAATGTAAACTCTCTGTAAGTGCTGCAGACTCTGCATAAAGTTATAGACCAAACCATCCTATTAAATGGCAACAGGAGGTTTTGGGACACGCCCACAGTAAGGAGGCATCCGCATGGCTTTTCATTGCTCATTTGGAGAAGACACAGCTTGATTCAGATGAACCTGCCACAAGCTGAAAACTAGGATTTCTCTGGGAATTGTGCCAGGTTCAGTTCATGAGCCCATAAGAAATCCCGGCATGCTGAAGGCAGAGCATCCTGAAGCTCCTAGACAGGTGGCCTCTCCTGCTGCTGGCCATCTCCCTGACCTTTGAATCTTTGGCTAGAGGCTGCCCATCAGATGACAACAGTCTCAGGGCTGAAAGACTCTCAGGCCACTTAGCTGAGCTTTGTGCAGCCAGCATGCATGGCATCACTGTGCTGGCCTGGACCTAGCATCTGCCTGGTGCCCCAGATGAGTGGGTTTGTTTCTGGCCATCCCCTTTCCCCTTACCATCTCCTCAACACCTCTCCCTCGAGGACTTCTTCCTTGTGGTTTTGTAAAGTACAAACTTAAGAATAAAGTGACTATTGTGTTGTTTTTTGTTTGTTTGTTTGTTTTAAAAGAAATCCTGTCATATTGCTTAGTACTCAGCACCTGTCCTGGACATCTATTTGGCTAGAGCAACAGATTTGCCTCTGTGTGCCTTCTAATTCTGAAAACCGAGTTGTAGGCAACCTTTCTCAACAGTCCCTGTAAAGTCTCTCACGGGCCCTTAGTGAGTCCTTGCTGAACGAAAGTGTGAGAACCGTAGGGAACTTAAGAACACAGAGATTCCAGGAAACTGCTTTGTAATCTGAAATAAAGCAGACGGAATAAGAATTCAGCTCTAGGGGCCATGGGGGAGGTAAAAAGATGCAAAATTCACATCTGCCCTGGACAACCCTCACACAGCCCCACTCGAGGATTCCCTGGACACAGTACCCTCAGTGACCATCACTGAGCTGCCTTCCTGTTTCTGCGCATCCCTTGTGTTAGGCCAGTAGCAGGTACGCACATAACAAGCAGGACTGTGTGCCCTGACAGCACCTAGATAGAGAACCCTACTTCAACTTCCTGCTCTAATGGGCAGGATGCTCTGAGCTCCCCCAAGAAAAAGAGTGGGGGAGAAAAATTAGCATGGTTACTTTTAGAAGCCTTGAGAACAAAGGACTAGCCAGGGACCAAAAAGAGTACCCTGATGAAGTGGAGCATCGTTTGCATGTCTGTACGCAGGTGCACGTGGGCGTGTGTGAGAACTAGTGTGCACGCATTTGGGCTTGAGGCATGTCTGTGCATACACATGCATCTTCTTCCGAGTGGTTTCTATGGCCTCCGTGCTTCAGGGTTCTAGTGAAAGCAGCTGACTGAAGATACTAATGACATATAAATAGTGACAAATGCAAAATTTCTGACCTTGGTGGTGACCTTTGCAAGCAGCCCATTATCAAAGCACAAGAGGCAAATGGGAATTGGTCAGAACATGGTTAATGTTCCAGGAAATTAGGCTTTGGTTTTCCTAATTCAATAGCCTTTCTCCTCATTCAATTTCAAGAAGCCCCAGCGCTTGTTATCAGGGCAGCTTGTGATTATAATTTTAGTCTTCAAACAAAATCAGCCCGGATTCCATTGTGGGGAAGGCGCATTCAGCCTTTGAAGGGTGCTGTCCTCACTGTGGCAAGATTATGTGTGTGTTACAACTTAAAAATGACTAGTCGCTGCACTGGGACCCCTCCCCACCTCACTTTCACCTCAGCTTTGTGGAAGAAAGCTGGCCATTTGCTCACACAGCTTTCTGAAAGTGTGGGCGTGTGAGGAGCTGTTTCCTCCAGACAATTTGCATGGGTTACCTTGGAAGCAGCTTTCTTCATGAGCTCTAAGGCAAGCCGTCTGTTCTTTTTAACTCCTTGACCCTAAACATTGACAAACAGAAACGATTATGAAGAAAAATAAACCCGAATCCTCACAGGCATCACACAGAGACACCAGCATCCAATATAAAATGCTTGCAATAAACCCTGAACCTTAAAAACAAAACAAGAAAAAAAACAAAAAAAACAAAAAACAAGACCTCATAATCTTAAGTGCTTCTAGGCACAGCAGTATTGCAAGATATCATTGTTGTCATCATCACCATCATCATCATCATCCTCATCTTGCTCATGTTTGTGGAACAGAAACAAGCCTCAGTTTCCCAGTTCATCGGGGACAGGACCCCACTGAGGTGGAGTGGCCTGTGCTCCTATCATATCCTGCACACATGCTGGGGAGAAGCTATGAAGCAGGTTGGCTGGATTTGGTCATCCTGAATGCATTCCTTTGGGATTATCTAATTTGATACCCAGATAAAACACGTTATCTGTGTTGAACAGTCAGGAGTTTTTGGCCCAGGTGCCCTGGGTGTGATACTGTGGCTTCTGGGTGAGTTTGAGAGTGTGCTGAGAAGGAGATAGTACCCCGAGAAACCATTCTAGCACATGTGAGATCTCCCGAAGAGGTGGCTCGTCCTCTGTGTACAGAAATGGACGCTGGAGTTCTTGTTGCAAAAAGGACCTAGCTATGGGGTCTAGAGGAGTGTGTACGGGAAATGGTGCATCCAAGAGCAGGGAGGGAAAGGGTCCCTGAGGCCTTGACACGGGTCTCATAGGAGGAGGGAAGGCAACCGAAAATCTCTGTTGCTCCAAATTTATCCATAATCATGGGCCCTTTCCACTCTCCCAAAGCCCCAGGGGATCTTCCTCAACTTAGACAAGACTCATGGGGTCACCTGATAGGACCGTGGAGATAGTTGCATGAATGCAACTATCTGCTCTGTTTGCTTGACTCTGTAACAGCTGGAGGTGTTAATCAACATACTATTCGATCCCGGGCCAGCGACCCCATCAACCACATCTTCCCATTGTAGCAACCCTACAGGGGAGACACTGACATTCCCATCCACCCCAGACTTCCCAGAATCGTGGGATAGGTGAGAACGGGAGGCAGGATTTGAGCCCAAGCAAGCAGACTAAACCTCTGACTGCCATACTGTACTTTCTAGTGTGCATTTTGGCTTCATTCTGAGAAAGGATAATGAGTCCTAACTTCCTGCATGGTATAAGAAAGGCCCGGTGATGATTAACTCTGGTTTTTAGGATCTCCAATAAAAATGGGAATCAAGCTAAAGGTTAAATTCTACTCAAGTTGCTACTGGACCTTGACCTACCTATTTAATAAAATGGAAGCAAAAGTATTTTTCAGAATTATGCCTGTGCTGGATAGTTTTATGTCAACTTGACACAAGCTAAAGTCATACAAGAGGAAGGAACCTCAATCAAGAAAATGCTTCAGGCCAGGTGGTGGTAGCACATGCCGTTAATCCCAGCACTGGGTGGGGGTGGGGGTACTGAGGCAGGCAAATTCAGTGAGTTTGAGGCCAGCCTGGTCTACAAAGCAAGTTCCAGGACAGCCAGGGCTACACAGGGAAACCCAAACAAAACAAAACAAACACACAAACAAAATGTCTTCATTAGGTCTGGCTGTAAGGCATTTTCTTAATTAGTGACCAATAGAGGAGGGCCCAGACTCCAGAACATTGCGGATGGTGCTATCCCTGGGCTGGTGGTCCTGGGTTGTAGAAGGAAGCAGGCTGCACAAGCCATGAGGAGCAAGTCAGTAAGCAACACCCCTCCACAGTTTCTGCGTTCACCCCTTCCACCGGGTTTCTGCCCTGTTAGAGCTCCTATCGTAAATTCCTCCAATGATGAACAGTAACATAGATGTATAAGCCAAATAAACCCTTTCCTGCCCAACTCTCTCTTAATCATGGTGTTTGATCACAGCAATAAAAACCCTAACTAAGACAAGTTGGTACCAGGAGTGGGATGTTGCTGTGACGGACCGACTATGTTGTTTTGCGGAGAATCGTGGGAGGACTTTGGAACTTTATTCAAGAAAAGCCATTGTGTTTCCAGTGCTTGCTGAGCTGTTCAATGGGAGCTTGGAATATAAGAATATTGAGAGCAATGCACTAGATAGAAGCCTGGCTTGTGAAACTTGAGAGGGAAGTGTAGAGACTCTATCAGGGTCATTTGTTATTTTGAATTAAGATTCTGTGGTTCTGGTTTGCTGGGGCTGAAGAATCAGCTCTGATTCACAAGATACCACAACTACTAAAGTAAAACCTTTGCTGTGTTGGGATACTCAGCGCTGGTTAGCTGGAGCTGAGAAATTAGTGGTGATTAAGATGAGACAGCATTGTTGAGGTGAAGTCTTCCGGGAAGTGTTTCCTCACAGTCAGCACACAAAAGCTATGTTCCAGAGGTGGCCAAGGCTCTACCTCATGCTGGCAGCCAGAACTGGTAATATAAAACTCACCCAGGTGGTATGGGTTTTGAAGGCATGAAGGGGTCATGGAAAGCAGCTGAGGCTTGGCACCAAGAGAGTCTACTGGTGAAACTGCAGCCTGGCTGCAACAGAAAGACCCCAGTATTTTGGAGATGCCAGTACCACGAGTCAACCATCAAAGACAGAAGTATCAGTGGAGTGAAGCCAGGCAGAGCCTAGAAGACAGGAGGTGTGTGCTGCAGAGGGCAGAGGTGGAGAAGTGACTCAAGCCTTTTGAAGGAGCCCATAAGATTATGATTAGATTCTAGATCATTGGACATTGAGTTTTTTTTTTTTTTTTTTTTTTAATACCACTGCTGGAGTTTGGGTTTGCTTTGTTCAGAATGTGACTATGCCTTGGTTCTTCCCTCTTGAAGAAAGTGTTTTATTTTTGGTTTTACAAGATCCCCACAGTTGAGAGACTTTGAATTTTAAAAGACTTTGGATTTTAAAAGATATTGGCTATTTTAAAGAGCTGAACTTTTAATATATTAGAATTTGTAAAGACTGTAGGACTTTTAAAGTTTTTAGAATATTTTTAACGAGAGATTTTGTGAATGAACGAGAAAGAAGTTGTGGCTTAATAGTGATGTGCTTGTATGTTAAGTTGACAAGGGATCAATTGCTTGAATAGTTTATGTCAACTTGATACAAGCTAAAGTCATCTGAGAGAAGGGAACCTCAATTAAGGAAATGCTTCCTCCTGCATCGACTTAATGTGCCTGGTTAGGTTGGTACCCATTCGGGACCTCCCCCTTCTCTGAGGAGAAAAAGGAGAAGGGGAGAATGTGAGATACGGGAGGGACCAGGAGGAGAGGTGGGGGAGCTGCAATCAGGATGTAAAGTGAATAAATAAATTCTATAAGAAATAAATATAAATAATTTCTATAAAAAAGCAGGCTGAGCAAGCCATGGAGAGCAGGCCAGCAGCACCCCTCCATGGCTGCTGCATTAGTTCTGCCTCGATGTCTCTGCCCTGTTTGATTTCCTGTCCAGACTTCCTTTGATGATGAACAGCAATATGGAAGTACAAACTAAATCCTCTTCTCCCCAACTTGCTTTTAGTCATGATGTTTCATCACAGCAAGAGAAACGTTAGCTAAGACAATGTCGTTATGTTATTTAAGGAAGAGGAAGGAGAACACAGGACACTTAGAAGAATCAGATCAGAAACATAACTTTTGGACCCTGAGAAGAATCAGAACAAGTGGAACATCTAAAGTAGTAGAACACAGTGACAATTTTGTAATTTTGGGTTCTTTGAAAAAAAAGAAGAAGAAACGGCAATATCACAAGGATATGCTTTTGTTTTAATACCAGGTGCGGGGATATGAAGCTGCTGCAAAGCAGCTGACTGTGATTTGCCTCATGCTCTAGCAGCGGTGTGGTTTTTGCCAGGTGCAGATAGTTTCTATGATTGTGGGCATTTGGAATTTTGGAGACTTTTCAGAGGGTAAAGAAATGCTAGGGCCCCGAGAGGCAGGGTGGGTTGTTGTTTGGCTGCTGTTGGTCGAGGTTTGTTAAGCAGTCACGCACGAAGAAGAAAGAAGAAGAAATTAGATAGCCTGATGATGAAGATCAAACTTGCCCCAAGGAGCTCTACACCCCTAGTCAGCAGGAAGTAGTCTAACGACAATGACACCCCCTTTCCGACCCCTGGCTTTATTCGGGGATCTCTTTCCTTTCCTCTCTATCCTTTTATCTCTCTTATCTAGTGTTGGGGGGTTGAAAGGGCGGAAGAAAAAGGGCGGAACAAAGAAGAACCTTCCAAGTAGCAAACGGCTACACACAAGGTTCATCTTCGTCAGTGTGTGTGTGTGTAAGTTTTTGTTTTGTTTTGTTTGTTGTTTTGTTTTGAAGGAACAAAACAGACGTAGAGAGGTTGTTTTATGCAAAGGCTCACAGAATCACAGTATATCACTGAACCCAGATATTCCAATTTCCTTGTATTTAATCCAGTATTCTTGTCAGTTTAATCACATATCTTCTTGCACAAAGACAGCACCACATGCTAATCTGAGAAGTACCAGAAATTCTTAAATGAGACCAAACACTGGCAGAGTGTGTGCCTGGAGAACAGCTGATGAGTACACTGGCAGAGGACCAACACGGAGTCAACGTCAAAACTTCAAGGACTGCCTTGGATAAGCCACCCCCTCACTCTGGCGTCATACTTTCATGTGGTATGCCCAAAACAGCCAATGCATGCCATGGCCTTTACACCCAGAATGCCCAGGAATGCCCATTTCCAAATGGGGCCCTTCCATGTGAACTATGCTTAAAAAGAGCTCCTTGCCAGAGGCAAACTCTTCCCTGAGACGCTGATGAAGGCTCCCTGCGTCCTACCCAGAGGGAACTTAGCCAGAAGTCAATAGCACTGGGGAAACAAAAACAGCTTTAAGATCTGGGGATGAGACCCGAGGGAACATGTCACCCACTGTCACACATGCATATATGTGTGTCCCGGTCTGCACCGCCACATGCTGGTGGGTGGAAACAATGCCTGACTCCTGCCTCCTTCTTCTCTGGACTTTGTCCAGCCCCAACTGTGGTGGATAGGTTTCTCTCCTCTACACCATTTCTGTGCCCTGTCTTCCCCTCCGGTGCATGAGCCCTCTGAGGCCAGGGATGTGACTCAGGCCTCCATCTGTCCCTCCACCGAGCACAGAGGCTGGCATGTGGCCGGCACAGAATGGATGTGTATTAGATAAACACCCTGGCATATGGAGAAGGTTCAAATAATCTCTGTTGATTTGGTGCCTGGAAAGAGAAGGTCTAGGCCTCAATTTGGAAACCATAACAACCATTAGGTTGTCAGGCTTCAGTGGGGGTGTAGAGGAGAGATCTGTAGCAACGTCATAGTTGTCAGTGAGTGAGCGGCCACAGCTGTGGATCTGGAGACAGGCCTGGCCAGGCACACAGGTGAAATGTAGTTATTTGACGACATTCATTTTGGGGCATGGACATAAGTAAGGTCCAAGGATTTCCTTACCAAAGCCAAAGCGCCCCCTCCCCCCCTTTTCCAAGCTTAGGTCTGCAGGCCACCCCAGGTGTACCTGTTCAAGTCTGATCTCTGAAACTAAGTAGGCTCAGGTTGGATTCATACTTGGATGAGATATTGTTCTGAGATTAGTGGTTTGATACATCTGCATTTGAGTATACAGAGCGCAGACCATAAAGCCAGCCTGCCTGGATTCCTGCTCAAGGTGCAAAATGCACCAGCTGGGTGACTGTGGGTAAGGTACAGAACCTCTCTGTGCTTCTGTTGCTCTAAGACAATAACACAACACGTAACATCTTCCAGGCAGTGAGAATCTAATATGCTAGTTTACCGGACACAGGGAGCAAGTGCTCCATCTGTCAGTAGGAACAACGATTTTCTTTTAAAAGGCACACACACGTGTTACAGTCCTATTGTTTTGTTCAGTCTATGGTCATGAGCCTCATCCTAGAATATATGAGCTTCTTCAGGCATATCCTCACGGGTACAGGGGTGGGACTCTAATTCCCGTCCTCTGTCTCCCAGACTCTTCCCTGCCCTTCCTCCTTAGCTTGCAACTAGGTTCATTCCCCTGCCTCCATCCCCATCATTGGGACTGTTGAGTTCTGGCTCAAACATGCTCTGTTGAACTCGTGACAGACCTGCAGATCTGTGAGGCTGGAGGCCATGGACCAAGCCATGAAATATGGGTGTCTCCTTCAGGGTGTCACAGACGTATAGAGAAGCCAGGTGTCACCTATAAGGTTATCAATTAAAAGTGCACCCAGGGAAGCACTTCTGGCTCTTCCTTTTCAGCTGTGTCCCTCTCCGTCACAGGTGACAGCAGGTTGTTCTAAGGCTGTCTGTTTGCCTGCACACCCACAGGAGATAGCTCAGGATGTCTATTATCAGAACCGAGCAATTTTAGTCCCTATTAAGCAACTCTTACCTTGAATAACACGATGGCGTAGTCATATATCAGCGCAGGATCCTCCGTCTCCAGGGCCCCCTTAGCGTACCACTCGATGGCAGCCTCGGGGTTCTTGGCTACCCCTTGCTGTCCCCAGAAGAGCATCTGAGCCAATCGTTGCTTAAAGACAACAGTGACTTAGAACAATGAGTTTCACAACAATGGGTTGTGAACGGGAGGATAAACCTAGTGTAAAATGTTCTAGGTGGAATGGCCATCCAAAATGAGACATGTGTAGGAGCCCTTGAAGGCAGGGAATGTCTTAGAAGAGGGGACAGAGAGAATGCAGAAGAAGCAGTGCGGAGAGATATGGAATGTGGTCTTCCAGGCATGGGTGTGTGTGCGTGAGTGTGTGTGTGTGTGTGTGTGTGTGTGTGTGTGTGTGTGTGTACTGAGAACTGAGCCTGTGGTCTCTGCAAGAGCAGTCAGTGCTCTTCACTGCTGAGCTCCTGCCCCAGCACCCTCACTACGCCTGTCCCCCCTGGATTCACAGCAGTTGTGACTACCTGCACATGATGCTATAAACACCCTATCACGGAAGGGGGAGGGGCCCATGCGGCCTCACCCTTCCTTACATTAACAGCTGATAGGGGGTAGAGAGATATTGTTTCCTGGGGTGCCCATACTCCTCTGAACCACCCTAATAAAACTCACTGGCTTTGCCCCGCCACCACTCCTCCCTTCTCCCCCTTTCCTTTCCCTCTCTCTCTTACAAAAGTAGAAGGGGACTAGTTGGGAACAGGAAAGAGATCAGTGGGAGGACGGAGGAATAAATGAAACTGAAATACATTACGCATGTGTATGAAAATATCATAATGAAACTCAGAATAAGAACGAATACATGCTAATAATAACATCTAACATGTTTTAGTTGAGAGTAGAGAATTAAACATGCTATTTTAAAGCAGGGACGGGGGAGGAGCCCAAAGGTGCATTGGCATAAGTAGAAGCGACAACTCATATGTGTGTTCTTGCCTCCTGACAGCTCCCAGCCTTAGTCTCAGGATGGGTCCAGCCACAGGGACAGGAGTGGGGACAGGAGATCAGTGCCACTGAGAAATGTCCTCAGGCAGACCTCCGTGCGAATTGCTGTCAGACCGGGCAGGCAGTCCTACAGGAGGCCGTGCTTGAGGAGTGAGGGGAGCTTCTTTGGACCACGTTCTGTGATCAGTAAGCAAGTCCATCATATTCCAGCCAGTTCTGGTTCTGGTACTGTATACACAGGCCCATTGTGAACTTGAACACACACACACACACACACACACACGCACACACACACAGCCCTCACTTTATCTAGTTCTCTCCAAAGTTTCCAGAAGCCTGTGCATATGGATTTGCTGAAGAAATGAAGTGCCCACTGTTAGGAAGATTAACATGAGCTCCGGAACCCCCCCCCCCCGCCCCCCCCCCTGGCATTTCTAGAACTACAATACTCTACAAAAACAACAGCAGGCCATGGTTGGTTACAAAACCAAGGATGGGGGTCAGGGGCTGCCTCTGTTAACTATTTGGCTCCATGTGGGTCCCTAATTGTCTCCCTTCTTTCTGCTTCCATGTCCATGCAGGAAAGAAAGTGCCCGGAAGATCCCTAGGGAACCCTGGGAGACTTGTGCCTTGAGAAGGACAATTTGTCAGTGCCTCTGACTCTTCTCCCATTTCTTTCCCTTTCCCAGCTCTGTTCTCTGGCCACTCAGCAGTGCTGGAGGCTCCTCCCCAGACTTTAGTGCTCCCTAGGAACACACATCAGATGTTAAACCTCTCCGTTGGGGAAAAAGGCTTCTGGTGAAGGTAGCCTCAGCAAGCTGCAGCCAAGGCTTTTCATCAGCCGTAAATCTCGCTCCTAAAACTCTACTGAAAGACATAAGATGTTCAAAGACAAAGCCAATCCTTCTGACTTGACACTCTGTAAATGGTTATTGTTCTCCTGGCTGAATGCATGGCCATCTAATTTCTTTTACACACAAGATGCTCCTTCTTTTCTGTCTAATACACACACCAACAGGAGTCTTGGAGGACTATACTCCAGCCTCTTAAGCAAAAGAATGGCCATGTTACATGCTCTGAGTAGCTCACATTAGCAATGACTTAGCAGTGAGGTGTGGTCTCCTAGCCTCAGATGAGCTGTGGCTATGGCCTTGCCAGTGATGTTGGAAGTATGTGGAGAAGCCTCATCCACCTGGGCTCCAGGGCCGCAAGAGCTCCATGAGACATGACTGCGAGCAGAAGATACAGCAGCATTGCTTGAAGCCACTGGGGATGAGCAGGTTTTGTCACTGAAGCAAAACCTTATCTGAAATGACTGACAGATTCTCCAAGATGGGCATAGGCATACCTGTGCTGCCGCGTTGCCCCGGGTGGCTTCGTGCTTCAGCCACATAAAGACATCGCCATCTTCTTTGGTTTGGACTTTGAGTATTTCATCATCTTTGAGTCTAATAGTTTCAACATATGCCTAAAAAGAAAGAAAGAGGGGAGGAGGGAAATTGAGGAGGTAAACACTCAAATGCCATGAGCATGGACACACATAGTATCCTCAAGCCAGCAATTGTTCAAGCAAAACCCATAGGAATAATTTAAATCTTAGGCGTGACTACATGGTCACGGGAGTGAATTATTTTTAAATGAGTGTGTTCTTAATAGTTGTTTGGGAAAGCCAGGATTTTTTTTTTTTCACTCACTCCCACTTCTCCAAGCTTGTCCAAAAGTCTGCCTCGTGCCACGGTCCTCAGAGCCAGCTCCCATTCCCAACAGCACCAAAAGAGGTAAATTGATATTTTCTAGCTGTGACCTTAATCTTTACCGAAGCGTCATTACCTGACATAACTAAACACGTTTATTTCACAGGCTCAGCTTCGGTTATCGTCTGTTATATCTGCCAATTTTAGAAATCTACCCGAAAAACAAATGGAGCATGCTAAATTCTTTAAGAATTCGAGATTTAAGGATTGAGAGTCGTATGCTCTAAAGATGAACCCAGAGGGGAAGTTCACAGGGTGATTAGAATTTGCACACAGCCTGTCAGATATTTGACTTCTTTGAAGAAAATAAAATCCATCTCAGTGTATACATTTTGTCTGTGTGTTAGAAACTGGCTCCCATTGTTTTGTGGATTGCCCTTGTGCATGATGGAGTCTGGTAGCAAGCTGCGAGGAGGTCTGGAAAAAGCATTGCATGCTATTCCACACCACAGGCAGGTGTGAGAAATTGGGAGAGAAGCCTCAGGGAATGAGGAGACAGGCCTGATTTCCCTTCTGATGGCCTTTGTTCATTGAGAAAATTATTTAGTCCCAGATTCTGGTCTGTAGCTCAATTTCTCAGAATGTCTCTCAGCTGCTGCCTGTTCCGGGATCATGTGGGGCCAGGGTCTCTTCCAGGAGCATTAGAGGACTGGGACTGAGGACTCCTGAGAGGTTCAGGACCCAGCGCAATCCATCCATAACAACGGCTTCTTCCCTTTATTGAAACCAGCTATGGCAGTAGAATGTTTAACCAGCCTTCATGTGTCACAGTCAAAACTGTGACTCGATGCTCCCTCCCCTCCCCACATACCGAGTTTACAGAGAAAGTAACAAATGCAGGCTCCTACCAGGGAAACAGGGATTCCAGCTCACATTGTCCTGCCCTGAAAGCCAGACTAGGAAGGACCCCACAGAGATCCTCCACTCCTGCGATGTCGCCCTCTGCTGGGAAGACCCTGAGTCTCAGCCAGGAGAGAGTCGATCTGCCCAAGTGATGGACTCCATATGCCTAGGGCAGGGCAGATGAGGCCTCAGCTGACACTTCCAAGGACACTTTTGTTTTCTGTAAGGAGCCTGGGTTTGGGCAGAAGCTTGCACTGATAAAGAATTCTTTCACAAGATTCCCTGCACTCTGCAAAAAGTTTGGCTACGAATCTCAGCATATGTTTTGATACCCTGCTGGGTAGAGTCTTTCAGAAGCCCTCTGTGGTAGGCTCCTGTCCTGTTCCCTGTTTTCTCCCTCTTCTGATGTCCATCTCGTTTGCCTTTCTGAATGAAGATTGGGCTTAATTAGCTTCCTTAGGTGTACAGGTTTTAGTATGATGAGGGAACAGGAGCTCCACAAGGAGAGTAACAGAACCAAGAAATCTGGGCCCAGGGGTCTTTTCTGAGACACATACTCCAAACAAGAACCATGCATGGAGATGACTTAGAACTCCTGCACAGAAGTAGACCATGGAAGCTCAGTGTCCAAGAGGGTTCCCCAATAATAGGAACAGGGACTATCTCTGACATGAACTCATGGGCTGGCTCTTTGATCACCTTCCCCTGAGGGAGGAGAAGCCTTATCAGTCCACAGAGAAAGACAATGCAGCCAGTCCTGATGAGACCTGATAGACCAGGGTCAGATGGAAGAGGAGGAGGACCTACCCTATCATTGGACTGGAGGAGGGACATAGGAGAAGAAGAGGGAAGGGTTGGGATTGGGAGGGGATGGGGGAAGGGGCTACAGCTGGGATACAAAGTGAATAAACTGTAATTAATAAAAAGAAAAAAAGAATTCTAGGCTTTATGTTCACCTGGACAATTCTGGTGTTTTGGTTTTTGTTTTCTGTTGTTACTGTTTTGTTTTTGTCTTCTCTGTCATGAGACTTGAAAGAAAGACTAGTCACATAGCTTCTTGGGTCTCTTCGACGTTAGCAATGATGACGTACCAGTGACCCTTGCGAGCAATGTGCCAGGCACTGTCCCATTCCTTACTCCTGTGGACACCCACACCTGGGAACCTGATGAGACAGTCAGGATCTGTACCCCCATTTCACACTTGTGGATGCTATAGCCATAGAAGTTAACTAAACTGCCCAAGATCATATCATCAGGTCTTCAAATGTAGGAGTCAAATCTGGGCTGCCTCACACTCATGCCTGGCCCTCGGTCTCCCTCGAAGGAGTGGAGCTGGGAAGAAACAGATGGTGGACTGTTTCGGTGTCCCCTGCCCTCCCTTACACAGCGGACTCTCTCTGTGGGCACTGTCAGCTGGGTCTTGGCTGAGACCATGTTTCTGAAGACGGGGAGTGGGAGTGGAAGACTCAGGACCTGAGTAGCTGCGCATAGCTGTGAGAAAGGAACAAATTTGCTACTTGCTCTGTGGCCCTTACAGTCCTGCGTGTGTGCTGCCATTGAGCTTCGAAGCAAGCGAAAACTATCAGGACTATGCCCTTTTCCTCTCTGACAGAGGGGACTCTGGTTCTGACTCACCGCTAACTGAATGTGAGCCTTGGGGAAGTTGCTTTATTTAGATGATACTGCCTTTCTGCTACTGGAAAAGGTGGCTGAGTACAGCACCTCCCACCTCCAAAGCACTCAAGATGTGAGCCATCATTTTGCATAGTACCAAGAGCAAGTATCTAGGCTGAAATCTAGACTCTGCTACTCACTTGCTGGGTGACTTTAGGTGACCGGCTCCTCTGACCTACCTCTTCTATAAGATAGAAATAATATAATGACCCCACAGGTTTACAGGTCTCTTTGTTCATCTATAATCTATATACAAATTATGTGTACCTATAGTCCCAGCACTGGGGAGAAAGAAGCAGGAGGACTAGAAGTTCAAGATCATTCTGGATAGTAAGTTTACTGCCAGCCTGGGCTACACGAGAAAGAAAAAGACAAAACAGAACAAAACAAAAACCAGAAGGAATACAATTTGGAGAGCATGTATAAAGGGCAGACACAGTTTTGAGAGCTCATATCATGTGCTGAGCTCTGTTTAGTACACGGATGAACTGATGTGTGAGAGTCAGACAGCCATGGTGCCCAGGTAGGAGTGAGAAGTCGAGGCAAGAACAGCCCAATGCATCACCGCTAGTGCACACAGACTGGGAGTGATCCAGTCAAATCTGCCCAACCACACCGTGTGCTGCTCCCAGGCAGGAAAGGGATGCCTCTCCTGATTCTGGGGTCCCCAAAGGGGCAGCTAGCACCAACAGCGGGTGCCTGTGCCTTCTGTGAAAGGAGATGGCCTGAAAAAAAAAAATCACATAAAGACAGGATGACCTTAAAAGGGCAGCTCAGAGTTTCTCATTCCTTCAAACAGCACATTGAGGGGGGGGGGGGGGTAGAGAGAAGTAGCCATGGTAGGGTGAGGCAGGTGTGCAGAGCCTGGGAGCCTGGACTGTTCTGAGAAATTCCAAGGTTTCTGGAACGTTCTTTAGCTGCTCTCTCCATAAATCTGTGCCAGCAGAACAAGCAGCTCAGAAGTGCACGTCTTCTATCACAGGGTTAAAGTCTGCTGCCAAGTCCCAGGAGGACCAGTGTCTGGAAACTGCCACACTCAGATCCTGGGACCAAGCGCCAGAGAGAGGCGCCACATTGTCCAGGAGAAGCTTCACCTCCTCTCCCTCTGCGCAGCCTGCAGGCTGCCAAGGGTGTTGTTCCTGTTAAAAGGCTGCTGTCACTGGTTTCAGGAAAGGCCAGAGAGGAAAGGGCCAAGAAGGGGGGTGGAGAGAGAGAGAGAGAGAGAGAGAGAGAGAGAGAGAGA